TGGTGCTGGGGAAACTGGAAAGCCACATGCAAAAAAAGAAACTAGACTATAATTTGTCTCCATGTACAAAAATTAATTCAAAATGGGTCGAAGACCTAAATATAAGATCTGAAAAAATAAATTACATAGAAGAAAACATAGGTACTAAACCCACGGGCTTTGGTCTCAAAGAAGATTTTATGAATCTCACCCCAAAAGCAAGGGAAGTAAAGGCAAAAATGAATGAATGGGACTATAATAAACTAAAAAGCTTCTGCACAGCAAAAGAAACCTCCAGCAAAACAAAAAGGGAACCAACTAAATGGGACGAGATATTTGCAAAATATATAAAGAACTCATACAACTCAATACCAAACAAACAAACAAACAATCCAGTTAAAGAATGGGCAAAGACAGATCTCAGAGGGAAGGTGGGCAGGAGGGTGGGAAGAAGTTAAGCAAAGAACTTATAAGCATATAGGAACAGCCCATGGACACAGACAATGCACAGGTGGGGACCTGCAGTGGGGTGGGAGATGAGTGGAGGGAAGGTAAGCAAAGAGGAAATCTGTAATACTCTCAACAATAAAAAAAAAAAGAAATAAAATTAAAAATAAATAAAATAAAAATGGGCAGAGGACACTTCTCCCAAGAAGACATACAAATAGCCAACAGATATATGAGAAGATGCTCAACTTCACTAGCTATTAGGAAAATGCAAACCAAAACTACAATGAGATACCACCTCACACCTGTTAGAATGGCTATTATTAACAAAGCAAGTAATAACAAGTGTTTAAAAGGTTATGGAGAAAAAGGAACCTTCATTCACTGCAGGTAGATATATACTCTGGTACAGCCACTATGGAAATCAGTATGGCGGTTCCTCAAAAAATTAAGAGTTGCCATGTGACCCAGCAATCCCCCTTTTGGGTACATACCCGAAAAACTTGAGCACATTTATTTGCAAAGATATATGCACCCTTGTGCTCATTGCAGCTCTATTCACAGTGGCCAAGACCTAGAAACAACCAAAGTGTCCTGTGACAGAGGACTGGATAAAGAAGATGTGGTACATATGTGCTACGGAATACCAGTCAGACATAAGAAAAGACGAAATACTGCCATTTGCAACAACATGGGTGGACCTTGAGAATATTATGCTAAGCAAAATGAGTGAGTCAGAAAAAGCTAAGAACCATATGATTTCACTCATGTGAGATATAAGACTGAAACTCATAGACACAACAATATGGTGGTTACCAAAGGGAAGGGGGGGTGGGAGGTAGTAAAGGGTAAAGGGAGCCAAATATATAGTGACCGATGATGATCTGACTTTGGGTGGTGGGCACACAATGCAATATATGAGCACGTATCATAGAAAAAATAAATGAATAAAAACAAATTTATGTGGTCCTGAAAGTATTCTCCTAGTGGCATGGCCTCCTGCTCCGTAGGCAGGGGAAGAGAACAGACCCTTCATGCACCAGGCACTGCATTAACTGCTTTCTTTTTTTAAAAATATATCTTTATTGATTTCAGAGAGAGGAAAGGAGAGGGAGAGAGTCATTGATCGAGCCCGCAACTGTGCATGTGCCCTGACCAGGAATTGAACCCCTATCGCCTGGATCCTAGGTCGACGCTCAACCGCTGAGCACCCCCCTGCCGGGCTGCATTAGCTGCTTTCTAATCCGTGATCCCAGTTTTTCATCACAGCAATCTCGTGAGTTATAGTGTGAGCCCCATTTTGCATATGAGGAATGAAAGCTCAGAGATATGAACTAGCTTAAGTGGCTGAGCTGGGATTTCATCTAATTCTAATGCTCATGTTTCCTCCATGGAACATGCCCCTTGCAAGGAAGGTGTATCCCCTCCTTTTGGAGAAACTCTACCTAGAACCAAGAAACAAACAGGTAGACCAACTCATCCTGAATTTCGAAGGACAAAGCTATCTTTCTCCCAAGCTCAAAAAAGAAAAAAAAAATGTAGCCATAAATTGCTTTTGTTGAAATAAATAAGGTCGATTGCAAAACACAATAAGTTGAATGATTTTGTTTAAATAGTATGAGTGGCCAAACATATAAACATTTATTGCAGTCACTTTTTTATGAGAGCTCTACATGGAATTTTAAAAATGATCATTATACACATCTGTTCCACATCTGTAGTCTTCCTGTCTATAATTTTACTAGTGGGGGCAACAGTAAAATCACACCATCTCTCTTCACCATAAGACAAGTCGAAGAGGCCTCCCCACTAAGCATGTTAGGGAACAAAATAGAAGGAAAATGAATGTTTGGGCATACGGCAGGGGGCCTGGGGCAGTCTGTAGAAGAAAAAATTGAGAATCCAGAGAGAAAATACCTAACATTTCAGATGGTTGAGGTATGCTAGGCCACAGAGCTGGAGAAATACTCTGGGATAAATGCATTGATAGGTTGTAATGTTAAGATTGCATTAGAAGGCGCAATCTGTCGGTAAGCTATTCTATTTGTGATTGATCTGTTGGCAACCAAACGTTTGTTTTGTTGGTTGGTTGTTGTTCAAATGACATGATAATTACTACTGTGCTCATTCCAGTTCAACAGTGAGTTAAATAATCAGTCTATAGAATTAGAGATAGATCCAACCAATTGGATTAGCAAAATACCTCTTCACTACTTCTCAACGACTATTAAATCTACATTATATATTTAACATGAAAGACTTAAGTGTGCATTTGTGAATCAGTGTAAAATATGCCCAGTGTGCAAAGCAGAATAATGGTCCCCAAAGATGTCCGTGTGCTAATGCCAGGAACTGGTGAGTACATTAGGTTACATGGCAAAGGGGAATAAGGTTGCCGATAGAATTAAGCTCGCCAATCACCTGACTTTGTCTGCTTTTGCCTCAAGCTTTGCTATAAAGCTACAATAATCAAAACAGTACGGTACTGGCATAAAAACAGACACACAGACCAAAGGAACAGAAACGAGAGCCAAGAAATAAACTGAAGTATGTGCAATCAGCTATAGTTGACCAGGAAGACTCAACAGAGAAGAGACAGTCTCTTTATTAAATGGTGCTGGGATCATTGGATGTTCACATGTAAAAGAATAAAACTGAACCCCTATCTTACACCATTCACCAAAATTAACTAGAAATGGATTAAGGATTTCAGCATAAGACTAGAAACCATGAAACTCCTGGGTGAAAAAAATAGGAATAAAGCTCCTTGACATGGATCTTGGTGATGATCTTTTCGATATGACACCTAAAATACAAGCAACAAATATCAATATTTCATCTAAATCATGTGACACATTCTATCAGAATTTAGAACAGTGAGATGAACAGTGAGACTAGGTTACTATGATATTAGTACAACACAAAGTAGAAGTTTGCCAAAAAATTGGGTGTTTTATTTCTTCCTTGAGGTTAATTAAATAACCAATATGATTGGCTACTGTAGACTACAGAGGCATTTTAATTTTTTTAGTTATTGAATTAATCAACTTACCTCACGGGCTTGGGAATAGGAGGAATATTTGAATCATACTGGTTCACACAGAGGTTTTTGTGTAGACACAGACCTACCTGTGGATCAACTTGGAAGAATTGACTTAGCCAGTTGTAATAAAAAAGAAAAATAGAAAAGATGAAAGTCTGGGATGTGTGTGTGTGTGTGTGTGCGTGTGTGTGTGTGCACGCGCCAGTATAATTCTAACCGAGGTTCTTAGTGCCTACATAATTTTGGTATCGACGTATTTTTTTAATCTCTGCTGTTTCTTGATTTTCCTTTTCAGTGTGTCAATTAGCAGCAGTACGTTTCTGAGAAAGAGCACCTTTCTAAAAAGTTTACATCTAAACTTATGGAGATCATGTTTCCTTGTCTTGACTTCACTTATTCCATGGAAAGTAGATCACAGGTTCTGTGATTGTTGGCCAGTATCTACCCTTATTCTCTTAACATAAGTTTCTGTTCTTATAGACTTAGAAATCGTGATGCAACAGTAAGAACCCCGACATAAGTTTTATCTTCCAATTCCAAGAAAATAGGAGACCCCCCCAAAAAAAATCTATATTTAGATAACTCCAGAATGGTTTTTACAGATTCAACAGTTACCAGTTTACCTTTTTAACACGGTTACCAGCAGCAACAAGAAGCATTTCCCCTATTTGATCTATGCAGTGTGAGCACTTGGCCTCTGGTTCTCTTTGATGGGGGAGGAAAACAGCTGGTAACCATTATGGATATTACATACCTTCAGACACTGCAGGACTGTTATTAGGTTACCTTTCTTCTCTTCTCCAAGATAAGCAATTCCAATGCCTTTAACTCTTTCTTATAAGTTCCACTTCCCAACCCTCTCATCAACATCCGTAGTCCCTTCTGAATCCTCTCCAAATCTCAGCATTCTCTTAAGATGTGGAGCCCCAAACTGGAAAGCGCTTTCTTGTAAAAATCCGACCAGTGCTGAGTAAGAGAAAGTACCATCTACTTATCCATCTGTCTATTTAAAGTTAAGCGATCATGGAAGGTCTACCACCATAGGCCATAGAGGCTGGGTATATTTTGGTGCTAAAGTAGCAGGAACATCAAAAGGGAGGAAGCAGGTCTGATTTTGCCTTAAGCTTTTGGCTTCAGCGAGACCACACCTCAAAGGGACCTTAAGGCACGTCTAAGGCCAAATGACAGGCAATGTCTGGTCTAAATCAAAGACAGAGACATTCTGCCGACCCAGAATCATTATTTTAGAAACCACTTGCTCTTACATGGTTAAATGTTGATTGTCAAATTCTACCTGTGTGTGTGTGCGCACATGTGTGTGAGAGACAGAGACAGACGAGAGAGAGACGAGACTCATTCTTCTTTTTCACATATCCTTTGCCAGTCTTAAAATGTGGTTTCTTAATAAAAACTTATTTGTTTTGTTTCAGGACAGAACCCAAACTATACGTACCTAGTGACATTTCCCATATTTTAAAGCAGGACATTTTAATTGTCTTTTCTGCTCATTCACTTTGTTTCTCTCTTCTGTCCCTTTATTTTTCCTGTTCTGTCCCCTTCGCTCTCATTTGTTGTATCGAATAGCTACTTAAATCACCTGTAGGTGGAGCAGAACAGAATTAGTAAAAATGTGCGGGTGGAGTGGGTGGAGGAGAAGACATTTAATTAAGGATCGAGGGCACCACTGTTCACTTGAAAACACCAAATAAAAATGATGAGTCTCAGGTACCCCTAACTTCCAAACCGTGACTAGAGAAGACAGGAAATAATGTTATCATGTGACCAAGAAGCTGCCACAGCCCCTCCACCTCAAACTCTGCAACCTCAGATGAGTGGTGAGTTGTTTCATCAACATTGAAGTTTGGAGTAAAGCAGTTCATTCTTTTACACTCTCTCCACAACCTGGGGGAGAAAAACATTCTAGACTCTCCACTTCGCAAAAAAGCTATATTTATTAGTGTGGCGGAACTGAGAAGAAAGCCCAAGAGTCAGAAGGACAGAGACACATCCCAGCTCTGACAAACCACCAGCAGGCTGCGTGCTCACGGCCAACCTGTTTGGCAGATAGGTGTTTGAAAATAGTGAGTCTCGAGCGCAGGGAGGCAGCCAGCAGGGTGTTTGTGGTGTTATCAGACAAAAATCTCTGTGTACCTGGACTAGGGGTCCAAGTGTCCTCTCCCCCCAGGCTTCCCATGGAGCTATGGCGACATCCGAGGCAGCAAGGGGAAGACAGGCACGAAGAAGGCCGAGCTGGGGGAAAAGAGCAAATGAAGACATAAGCCACAGAGAGCCGGCGTGGCTCTGAGGAAAACGGCTAATACTTCTCTTTTTCTTTCTCTTTTAACCCCTCAGAGGTAAAAAGGAAAGATGAATCTGCGTCTTCTCATGACTACACATTTCTTCTCATCTCTGGGGAACAAGGAGGTGATTGGAAAATGCAGAAGATTTAAAAAGAGAAATAACATTGCCCTTTAATTCAAACCATTGCTGAAAAGTGCCCATTGTTTTTATTCCAGTGTCTCGGTTCCAACACAGATTTGTGTTAGGTTTTGTTAGGTTTCCTGAACAGTTTACAAGTATAACTCACTCGCCGTTATTAGCAAATGATATTGTAAAGCAGGCCAAACCCTTTCTTTGGGAGTAAATGACTGGGCATTGGTCTCTCGTGTAACAGCCTCACTGAGAAACATTAACCTCAGATAGTGGGCGTTGATGCTTTCCTCAAGTATCTGGTTAAAATAGTCTTGAAGTGCAGTCATTTACAATGAACGTATTTATATTATAAAGAATTCTTTTGTGAAATAAGGAATCTTTTATTTATCTTATTGCACAGTCAGGATTGTCACCACCAGGAAATGCTGGCTGAAAGTACAAAAATGGAATTTTTTGCCAGTATACTAAAGCAATTACGTTCCAGTAACAGTGCAGTTAGTTTTTTCCTTTTAAGTACCTGCTGCTCACGGGCTGAATCTAAAGTTAGTTTTTTGCATAGTGCAATAACTTACTGTGTGTACTCAATGAAGCCATCAGGATACCTGGAGAGTGAACAGATCCCTGAGTCAGTCTCCTGGAAAATAGAGGGTGTGGTGAAAAAAATACCTCGAGAATTTGACCTACTTTAGCAGGCAACTTAGAAAATCCAGTGTTCTCTGGATGAAGTGGTTGATCAAATAATCCCAAATACAAAATAAAGTTCTATGTCCTGATTCTCCTGGCTCTGCAAACACAACCAACCATGTACATACAAGAATGTAAATCAGAGGTAAAAAAGACTGGACAGGATAGACAGATGGCAAATTCCACTCAGGCAAGATGGAGTTTAGCATTTTACCAAGAGTTTAAAAATTCTAATTAAAAACTAATAAGACATTTAAAAAAATTTCTCTTAAATGTAAAAAATAATATTTTCATGTTCCTTTGTACATTTTGTATAAGATTCCTAAATATTTCACACATGTTTCTAGTGACATTTTGTGCTCTGAGTAAAAAAGGCTAATGATTGTGAAATGCTAATAACCCAAGGGGTTGTATGTAGTAAAATCTGTGTTGCTCAATCTGATAAACTGAGAAGGGCAATAGACATGACTTTTCTAATTTTAAGTAGACTATTATAGAATAAAACAAGTTATGAATCCAATTTCTTCTTCAGGACTTTTGTTCTAGACATGTTTTCCTTAAACAATGTAAGAACAAAGGATGCCCGTGAACTACTGTGAAAGCAGATTCTAATGAGTATAGAAAACCCTGCTTGGGTTAACCCAAAGAGGAGACCAGCATCTCCTAGTGTAGCAGCATCACTGCTGCAGCTGCTGGGCAAAATGAGAGGTGCTCTCCTAGCTACAGAAAGATTAGTCTGGAGGCCCTGACCAGGCAGCTTTGTTGGTTAGAGCGTCATCCCAATATACTAATGTTGATCCCTGGTCAGGGCACACACAAAAATCAACCAATAAATGCATAACTAAGTGGAACAACAAATCGATGTTTCTCTCTCTCCCACTTCCTTCCTCTCTCTCAAAAAAATCAATTAAAAAAATTAAAAAAAAAAAATAGAATAGTCTGGTACTTAAGACAAGACCCCAAACTGGGATCTGAGTAGATCCTGTGTTTAAAATGGCTGTTGTAAAGCAAATAGAAGGACTTTCTGTCAGTGTACCAGCTCTCCAATATGTTTATTGAGAAAGACTTTCATCATCAGGTAGCAAATAAAAATAGAAGACCAAAAAAAAAAAAAAGTTACAATGCATACTTCCTGTTTCCTTATAGAGTCTCAATCAATGTGTCTTGGATAGGTGGTTAGGTGGATGAATAGAGGAAGGAAGGAAGGAAGGAAGGAAGGAAGGAAGGAAGGAAGGAAGGAAGGAAG